ATGTGAACCGTGGTCTACTATGTGGGAGTCTAGCGACATAGCCATTATGCTAATTGCCGGTCCCCATTCCCCTCGTTTTGATTCCCTAGTACTCCCTCCTCAGAGTTAATTGCAATGCTTTCTTCTTTCTTGATTAATTTATGCATACACAGGCACAAAGATTGCTTTTATTTAATCAATCAATTAATTAATTAATTTTTTGGAGAGGTTTTTGCTATAGGGCGCGTGTGCTCGCCAAACAGATAGAGATAGAAAGCAAGAAATCACCCCCCAGGGGGGATGGCCACGCCGCAATCCCTTCTCCTCTATTCTCCTCTTGGGATCTTGGGCACGCACGCACACACGCCCGGCATGAGTTTTAACCCACCGGGTCCGGGGCGTGAACCGCAGTTGACTATGTGGGAGTCCAGCGACATAGCCATTATGCTAACTGCTGGTCCCAATTGCTTTTTAATTGTTACAACACCTTATTCTGCCTTGTTCTTTTCACTGATTGTGTAATAATTCTCTGTTTACATGTTCCATGTTTAAGCCAATCCCCTGTTGTTGGATATTTTGATTGTTGCTTTGAGGGGTGTTGCAGTAGACATCCTACTTCATCTGTCTCTGTGCATCTTGTCCTCAGGTGTTTGAGTCTGTGGATGAGGTGGAGCAGGTGGAGGTGGAAGGAAGGTTGGAGGAGAAGCAGCCCAAAATTCCCAATGGGAACTTGGTGAATGGTACTTGTTCCCCAGACTCTGGTCACCCTTCCTCCCACAACTTTTCCTCGGGCCTCTCTGAGCACTCAGAGCCTAGTCTGAGCACAGAAGACAGTGTCTTGGATGCCCAGAGGAATGCCCCAACAGTGCCTCAGCCCAGAGACAGCAGTGTAGACGATGGGCAGAGCAGTGAAGCAACCACTTCCCGGGATGAAGCCCCCCGTGAAGAACTGGCTGTGCAGGATAGCCTGGAGAGTGACCTCCTTGCCAATGAGAGCATGGATGAATTCATGTCCATCACTGGCAGCCTGGACATGGCCCTGCCTGAAAAGGATGGTGCTGTGATAGAGGGCTGGCGGGGCAGTGAGGGTGACAAACACAACCAGGTGGACAGTGAGGACAACCTCTCAGAAGAGCCTGAGATGGAAAGTCTCTTCCCTGCCTTGGCTTCTCTGGCTGTGACCACTTCTGCCAACAACGAGACATCGCCTGTATCTTCCAGTGGTGTCACCTACTCTGTAAGTCATCAGGACTCTTCATTCAGTATCATTCTCTCTGCAGGAGGAGGGCTGCTATAGTCCATTCTTGCTTTACTAACAGAAATACTCAAGACTGGGTAATTTATGAAAATAGAGGTTTATTTGAGTCACAATTCTGGTTGCTGAAAAGTCCAAAGGCACGCAAAAATGGCAGAGGATAGAACTTTGGGCAGAGTATGGTCTGTATCCAAGTGGACCTCCATCTGTCTTGTTTCTTCTCCTGATAAACCCATGAGGACTCAATCCTGGGACCCCACCCTAACCACCCAATCGCTGATCTTCCAGAGACCCACTCTTAAGCACAACAATTGGATCTAGTTTCTACCCTCTTAATCTCATTATAGTGGCTCAGCAAGTGAATTTTAGGGGGAGTTATTCAAACTGTAGCAATGGAGATCTACCACACACCTCAGTTATCCAGAATGACCCAAAAGTGAGACCTCTGATTTGTCGCCTTTTCCCCATCTTGGAGAAGACATTGCAGAAACCCATTTAGGATTTAAAGAACACAAGCCATGTGGTAAACAGTCCTGTGTTCAAATCCCAACTTGGCAAGTCCATCTATCCTTCTGGCCAGGTGCACTTGCTAGAAAGAGATAGAGATGCAGAAAGAAAAAGTGAGAAATCAACCCCCCCACCCCGGTCCAGGGAAGGTGGCTATGCCACAATCCCTTCTCCTCCATCCTCCTCTAAGGATTTTGGGCATGCATGCACATGTGTGTGATTTTCAGGCTGCCAGGCCCAGGACTTGAACTGTGGTTGGCCATGTGGGAGTCCAGCACCTCAACCACCATGCTACCTGCTGGTCCCTCTTTTGCTCTTATTTTTACAAAATAAGAAATCCCTTCTCTTTTTCTTTAGAGAAATTAAATATACTTATTTTATATTTTGTTCCTGGAACTTCTAATAACTTAATGCCTTCATGGTTCTGATTCTGCTATCTTGAATTTATGCTGAGTGTCATTCATGGTGTCTTCTTTTCTGTGTTTTGTGATTTTTTTTTTTTTGAGAGAGAGATCTTTACTATAGGGTGCCTGCACTCACTGGAGAGACAGAGAGAGACAGAAACAAAAAGAGAGAAGTCATCCTCCAGGGGAGATGGCCATGCTGCAATCCCTTCTCTATTCTCCTCTCAGGATTTGGGGCATACACGCACATGTGCCTGGCTTGTTTTAAGCCTCTGGGTCTGGGACTGGAAGTGCAGTGGACTATGTGGGAGTCCAGCAATGTGACCATTACGCCACCTGCCGGTCCTTGTTTTGTGATTTTTGAACATAGATTCATAGTTTTGGAATTTTATCTGTTGTACTATTTAAGGCCTAGGTGGAAGATAGATTTTTCAGACAAGGGTTTTTTTGTTGTTGTTGATGTTTTCTTTTTCTTTTTCTAAGTACCAGCAAATAATAAATCTAATATAATTTTAAACTAAATCCTCTGAACTTTTAGAACACACAAGTAGTAGGAATGTGGGTTGTGAATCTGCAGGAGTAATAAACCTCATTTGTGGCTCTTCACTTTCCAGACAGATATCTTTTATACTGACTTTGGTCTCTGTGTTCGAGGGGCAGTCAGGCAGCGGCTGTGAACCCGGGGTGTGTTAGTGGGTTTTCTCTAGCCTTCCCATACTCAGGTAGGACTCTTTGGTGTCCTTCTTTCTGTGGGAGAGTCTCTTATTAGACTTTTCACTTTGTGCCAGGAGAGTGCCAAATCATTGAAGTTCAATTGCCCACCGTTTGGCAGCTTCCCTCAAGGCAATAGCCAGTTTTGGTATTGTCACGCCTTTCTGAGTTTGTTTTTGGCCCTTATTTTCCTGGCATATCATTGGACCATTTCATCAGGGCTGTGGCTGAGGCATCCGTCTCAAAATATTACCAGAACTGGACTTCTGGTTGATGATTCCATGATCCTTATCCGTTGTTTAGCAGAAAGGGGTGCAGAACCTCTTCATCTATAACATGGGGATGGTACTTAACTGCATCTCATAAGATTGCTTTATTTTATAAAAGAATAAAAGGAATTTTTATCATACAAAGTAAAAGAGGCTTTTTCAGAAAGCCAGCCAGACAAAATCAAGCTGTCACCTGAGCCAGGTAGGAGACATTCTTTTCAGTGACCACAGGAAAGGGTTAGGAGGAGGGGAGTTGTATCTCCCGGTGAGGAACTGTCTGTCATTTTTTTTCCCTCTCTTCCCCTTCTGGGGACCCACAGCCAGAGCTGCTGGACATGTACACGGTGAATCTGCACCGCATCGAGAAGGACGTGCAGAGGTGTGACCGCAACTACTGGTACTTCACGCCTGCCAACCTGGAGAAGCTGCGGAACATCATGTGCAGGTGCCTGGGGTGGAGTGGGGGCCCAGGGTGGACAAGATGGGACCGTAGGGAGCCCAGCTGGCATTAATTGCAACCTCAGGAACTGGCTCCGTACCAACCTGAGTCTTATTTCAGCCCCCCATTGACAATTAAATAGCAGCCATAATAATACAGAACTTGTATTAAGCACTTACTGTATTCCAGACCCCGTCCCAAGGCCTGTGCTATCATAAGCTCTCTTGATGCTTGAATAACCCTGTGAGGTGGGTGTGACTTCCTTTTATAGGAGAGGCCATGGAGGCTCAGAGTCCACCAGCTGGGCAGTGGCTGAGCGGAACATCATGGCCATGTCTCTCTGCTCTAGAGTCTGCTCCTCCTTTTGTCTTTAGGCCAAGATCTGCAGCTACTTATTACTGTTCATTAAAAAATTATGATCGCTATTTCTGTACATATGGAAGTAACCCATGCCTATTAAAAATCTAAATCCATCAAGAAAATCCAAAGTTCAAAGAGTATAAAAAGAAGAGCCAGAAGGTGGCCTAGATGTTAAGGTGCTAGCTCCTAAGCAGCCGATTCTGCGGTTCGAGTCCTGGACCTAGCAGCTTAAAAATCACACAGGCACACGTGCATATGTGTCCAAAATCCTGAGAGGAGAATGGTAAAGAAGAGATTGTGGCATGGCCATCCCCCCAGGGGGTGACTTTTCACTTTCCCTCTCTCTTGCTCTCACTCTGTCTTGATGAGCACACACATTCTATAGCAAAATAATAGTAATAATATAAAGAGAAACTTCTCCCATCCTTGCCCAACATAGTGACTGTCCTCCAAACCATATATATATTTAATGTACTATCAAGTTGATTGTATATTATGTGATATATAATACCATATGAATGCACATATTTTAAAAAATGTTTTAAAACTATAACACAGTATGATAGAGGTTATTTAAAATGAAGTGATTTCTGGGAGAGAAGGAAACATGGAAGGCCTTTTGCCTGGTTATGGCATAGAGGGAAGCATGGCGACCTCACAGAGGTGGTAACCTTTAAGATGGACTTAAACAACGAGGAGAAAAACTAAAGAAACAATTTATTATAGAGGTTAAAATCACACACCCTAGACTGATGCCTCCTAGGTTCAAATACTGCCTCTGTCACATTTTTTTTTAGAGGTTTTTGTAGTAGGGTGTCCATACTTGCCAGAGAGACAGAGAGACAGTGAGAGGGAAAGTGAGAAGTCAGCACCCAGGCGGATGGCCATGTCACAGTGTCTTCTCCTCCTGGGATCTTGGCACACATGCACATGTACCTGGTGTGAGTTTGAAGCCACTGGGTCCAGGATTCAAGCTGCTATCAGCCATGTGAGAGTCCAGCAATGTAACTGTTACGCCACCTGCTGGTCCTGCTACCATGTATTATTAGGTGAATGACTTTGGGCATGCCATTTACCTCTCTCTGTCTCAATCTCCTTAACATGGGATGATAAGGGTACTTACTTCTTATGGTTATTTTCAAAATTAAATTATGTGTAGTGGGTAGAGTATCCAGTGAATGCTTAGTAAACATAAGCTATTCTTCTTTTTTTTTTTTTTAACATTTATTTATTTATCCACTTACTTGTTGTGATTTCCAAGCTGCCGGGACTGGAACTTGAACCACAATCGGCCATGTGAGAATCTAGTGCCTTAATCACCATGCCACCTGCTGGCCCTAAACTATTCATATTTTTTTAAGAATTATTTATTGAGTTGTATTTATTATTATTTTTTCATTTTGCTGTAGGGTGTGTGCATTCACTTGAGAGAGAGAAAGAAAGCACACTGCCAGGTCCAAGACTTGAACTGTGGTCAGCCATGTGAGGATCAAGCACCTTAACCACTGCACCACCCGCTGGCCCCTAAGCTATTCTTTTTATTTATTTATGTATTGCTGTAGAACATGTGTGCTCACTGGAGAAGAACAGAGAGGCAGAAAGTGAGAAACAACCCCCGCACCCCCACCCAGGGAGGATGGCCACACCATAATCCCTTCTCCTCCATTTTCCTTGGGATTTGGAGCATGCACGCACACGCACCTGGTCAGAGTTTTAAGCCACCAGGTTCAGGACTCACATTGCAGTCAACTATGTGGGAGCCCAGCAATGTAACCATTACGCCACCTGCTTGTCCCCTAAGCTAGTCTTAGTGAGAGACAGATCAGTATTCCAGACAGTGGGTGCAGCAAAGGCTCAGAGCCAGGAAGGTGTGATTTATGTGTGCAGAGTGGCTGGAGAGAAGGAGGAACTAGAGAATGATGTGTGAGGCCGAGAAGACTAGCTGGGAGGAGACTAGGCACACCTGGCATCCCCACTAGAGGAGTTTGGAGTCTGGCTCTCCTTCCACTGGAGAGCTGGGAGCTTGTGAAGGTTTCTGAGCGTGCAGTGACCTCCTTGAGCTGGATTCAGGGACGGTCACCCTGCTAGCTGCACATAGAATGTTTAAAGAGAGTGAGACTGGGAGTGGGGGTGTAGGAAGGGGCTGGGGAAGCCGTCCAGGTGAAGGGTAGGGGACCGGTTGGTGGGGGAGAAAGGAGGCTGGGTGGGAGGTCAGGTTCATCACGGGCCCCCGTTTCTCTTATAGCTACATCTGGCAGCACATCGAGATCGGCTACGTCCAGGGCATGTGCGACCTCCTGGCTCCACTGCTGGTCATTCTGGATGATGGTGAGTGTCTGGCCTAGGGGGACACAACCACTAAGTGTCACATGTCTGCACTGGATGAACTCCTGGGACAGAAAAAGCACACTGGGGAAAACTAAGGACATTTGACTAATGTATGACTTTATTTTTTGGAGAGGTTTTTGCTATAGGGCACGTGTGCTCGCCAGACAGACAGAGAGAGACAGAGAGACAGAAAGCGAGAAATCACCCCCCAGGGGGGATGGCCACGCCACAATCCCTTCTCCTCCATTCTCCTCTCGGGATCTTGGGCACACACGCACACACCCCCAGTGTGAGTTTAGGCCACCGGGACCAGGACTCGAACTGCGGTTGACTACATGGGAATCCAGCGACATAGCCATTACACTAACTGTTGGTCCCACGTATGACTTTTAATAATGGCTCACTAATTGAAACAAGTGTGCCATGCTGACAGAAGGTGTACTATGGGAATTCTCTTACTATCTTTTCCAGTTTTCTGTAAATATAAACTATTGTGAACAATAGTCTTTTTTAAAAAGAATTATTTAATCCATTTAATTTTTTTTTGAGAGGTTTTTACTATAGGGCACGTGCGCTCGCCAGACAGACAGAGAGACATAGAGACAGAAAGCGAGAAATCACCCCCCAGAGGGGATGGTCACGCCGCAATCCCTTCTCCTCCATTCTCCTCTCGGGATCTTGGGCACGCACGCACACACTCCCGGTGTGAGTTTTAAGCCACCGGGTCTGGGACGCGAACCGTGGTCGACTATGTGGGAGTCCAGCGACATAGCCATTACGCTAACTGCTGGTTCCCAATTCATTTAATTTTCATAAATTATTATTATTATTATTATTCAGTTTGACCAGAGAGACAGAGAGAGGGGAAGAGAGAAAGAGAGTGAGAAAGCAAGCCACCAGGTCAGGGACTCAAACTGCAGTCAGCCATATGGGAGCCTAGTGCCTTAACCACCATGTCACCTGCTGTCCCAAAGTCTTTTTTTTTAAAGCAATTTTTCTATAGGGCATGTGCGTTCACAGTAGAGACAGAGAGAGACAGAGAGCGAGGACTCCCCACCCCCCTTCCCCCAGAGGGGATGACCACACTGCAGTTCCCTCTCCTCCATTCTTCTCTCAGGATTTTGAGCACACATGCACACATGCCCAGCATGAGTTTTAAGCCACTGGGTCTGGGACTTGAACCATAGTCAGCTACACGGGAGTCATGTAGTTGACAATTGCTGTTCGAGTACCGTGGTTCCCAGATGCAAAGTTCATGAACCACTAGAACTTTGAAAAAGAGAGAGAATAAAAAGTTTGGATATACACAGTCGAACACTACCTAGCCATAAAAAAGGATGAAATCTTGTCATTTATGACAACACAGACGAGCCTGGAGGATATCATGTTAAATGAAATAAGGCAGACCCAGAGAGACAAATACCACACGATCTCACTCACTGGTGGCATCTAAAAATGTTGATCTCATGGGAGTTGAGAATGGAATGATGGTTACCAAAGGCTGAGGAGAATGGAGGGTGTGTGTGTGTGGGGGGTGAGGTAGGGGCAGTTGTCATCAGGTTACAGTTCGAGAAGAAGGAGGGCCCCTGTCATTGCCCAGGAGGGGGACTGCGGCTCACAGTCATACACAGCACAGCTCACATAGCTAGACGAGGAATGTCCTCACAGCATAGAAATGATAAACGTCCAAGGTGATAGATATTCTCATCACTGATTCGATGATTACACAATGAATGCATGTATCAAAATAGCACAATAGGGGCTGATAGGTGGCCTGGTGGTTAAGCACGCTGGACTCCCACGTGACTGACTATGGTTTGAGTCCTGGATCTGGCAGCTTGCTTTCTCACTTTCCCGCTCTCTCTTTCTCACTCTGCCCCTCTCTGGTCAAATTATAAATAAATGAATAAGTTTTTTTAAAAACACATTTTATGCCATAATATGTACAATTATTATGTGAAAAAATATATATTGTAAATATATATAAATATATATGTACGTATACATATATGTGTGTGTGTGTGTATATATATATATATATTTTCAAGTCTTGAAACCAGCAAGTCATTGTCAGCTTGCTAGAGAGAGACAGAGAGAGGGAAAGTGAGAAATCACTCTCCAGAGGTGATGGTACATTGCAGTCCCTTCTCCATTCTTCTCTTGCGATTTTGGGCACACACACACATGTGCCCAGTGTGGTTTTCAAGCTGCCAGGTCTGGGACTAGAACCTCTATCAACCATGTGGGAGTCTAGTGCCTTAACCACCACGCTCCCTCCTTTCCCTCAATGACAACTTTTTTTAAAATTTCCTTTTTTTAAAAAATATTATTTTTAAGAGATTTTTGTTATAGGGCGTGTGCACTTGCTGGAGAGACAGAGAGACAGAAAGCGAGAAATCACCCCCAAGGGGGGTTGGCCACACCACAGTCCCTTCTCCATTCTCCTCTCAGGATCTTGGGCACGCATGCGCATGCGCCCAGCGTGAGTTTGAAGCTGCTAGGTCTGGGACTCGCACTGCAGTCAGCTACATCAGAGGCCAGAGATGTAACCATTATGCCATCTGCTGGTCCCAAGTTTATTTCTTCCATGACAGAGGTGGGTGGGCAGGCAGGAAGACTGAGAGATGGGGACCCCGATAGAATCTTTGACAGTCAGGGGCACATGCGTGTGTTCCCGGCTTGCTCAAGGAGGTCCCAGGACATGAACTCAGGACCTTTTCATGTGTGTCCAGTTGCATTATTGCTGTGCTACCACCTAGCTCTTCTGTCAACTTTTTGTGACTGCAAATAAGGAGTTTTTAAAAGAGCATCTGCTGGGAGCAGCAGTTGGCATAATGGCTATGTTGCTGGACTCCCATGTAGCCAACTGTGGTTCAAGTCCTGGACCCGGTGGCTTAAACTCACACCGGGCACTTGTGTGTGCATGCCCAAAGTCCCGAGAGGAGAATAGAGGAGAAGGGATTGTGGCATGGCCATCCCCCTTGGGGGTGATTTCTTGCTTTCTGTCTCTCTGTCTTTCTGATGAGTGCACGCACCCTATAGCAAAAACGTCTTCCAATCAATCAATCAATCAATCAATCAATAAAAGAGCATCTGCTATCACCATCATTTCCTGTATTTGAACACCTCAAGGTGAGGAGTGTACGGTTAAGGCTGGCTGCATCCCCTGGAATGGGATACACATGGCCCTCTGTTTTCCTCTTGTAAACTAGCCCTGAGCCTTAGGCCCTCCCTCTGAGGGCTCAGGGATGTAGCTGACCATCCTGTGTTTCTTCACCAGAGGCGCTCGCCTTCAGCTGCTTCACAGAGCTCATGAAGAGAATGAACCAGAACTTCCCCCATGGAGGCGCTATGGACACGCACTTTGCCAACATGAGGTCTCTCATCCAGGTATGACCCAGTGTCTGGTCCTGCTTTGGACTTTCTGGGAGATAGTCAGTATAACTGAGTGGCTTAAGATGGAGCAGTTCAGAGCCCGCCTGGCTTGAAGCCTATTTTTGCCCCTCATTAGCTGTGTAACCTTAGACATCTGCTTTAGTCTCTCAGAGCCTCAGTTTTCTCATCTAGGAAATGGATCAGTTTCCCCTTTGTCTGATTCCTAATAAATTATTATAGTTATTATAGAAATGAAATAAACAAATGCATTTATAGCACTTAAGATAATACCTGACCCTCTAACAGCATGAACGAACTTTATGAAGTTCACGGGAAAATGGTATTGAAGTACGAGTTTATTTTGATGCCCCCCCAAAAAATTAAAATCCATGCACCCCAATTCCCTGCCTCTCCTAGCACCTAGTAACCACTATCTACTTTCTGTTTCTGTGGATGCGCCTTTTCTAAACTTATCATGTAAATGGAGTCGTACCATCTGTGGCCTTCTGTGACTGACTTCTGTCACTTAATGTACTGTTTTCAAGGTCCATTCAGATTGTAGCATGTATCAAAATTTTTATTTTTGCTGCCAAATAATCTTCCATTGTATGGGTATACCACTGTTTATCCATTCATCTGTTGATGGGCGTTTGAGTTTGCTGTCCATGGCTCTTAGGAATAGGGAACCAGCAGTTAGCATAATGGCTATGTCGCTGGACTCCCACGTAGTCAACCGCGGTTCGCTTCCCGGACCTGGTGGCTTAAAACTCACAACGGGCGCGTGTGCGTGCATGCCCAAGATCCCAGGAGGAGAATGGAGGAGAAGGGATTGTGGTGTGACCATCCCCCCTGGGGGGTGATTTCTCGCTTTCTGTCTCTATGTCTCTCTCTGTCTGGCAAGCGCACGCGCCCTACAGTGAAAATCTCTCAAAAAAAAGGAATAGTGCTGCTATGTACATTGCCTACAGATTTTTTTAAAAAGAATTATTTTATCCAACTTTATTTCTTCTTATTATTATTTTCCAGTGTGATCAAAGAGAGTGAAAGTGAGAAAGCAAGCCACCAGATCTGGGACTCAAACTGTGGGTGGCCATATGGGAGTCCAGCACCTTTAACCACCATGCCACCTGCTGGCCCCATTTTTTTTTAAAAGAATTATTTATTTATTATCATTATTTTTCAATTTTAACCAAAGAGAGAGAGCACGCAAGCCAACAGGTCCAGGACTTGAACTGCGGTCGGCCACATGGGAGTCCAGTGCCTTTAACCACCACACCACCTTCCGGCCCCTCCTACAGATTTTTGTATGGATATATGTTTTGATTTCTCTTGGAGATATACCTACGGGTGGAATTGCTGTGTCTAACTTTTTCGGAGACCAATAAACTTTTCCACAGCAACAGCACCATCTTACATTCCCACCAGTAGAGTAGGAGGGCTCCCATTTTTCCACATCCTTGCCAACACTTGTTATTACCTGTCTTTTGAGTTTGACCCTTCTAGTGTATGTGAGGTGCTGTCTCATTGTGGTTTTGATTTGCATTTCCTGAATACTAATTATGCTGAGCATCTTTCACGTGTTTATGGATTGTTGGTAAATCTTTGGAAAAATGTCTATATCTTTGCCCACTTTTCCCTGTTTTTCCTTCCTTCTTTCTTTCTTCGAGAGTTTTTTTTTTTTTTTTGCTATAGGGTATGTGTGCTTGCTAGAGAGAAAGAGAAGGACAGAAAGCAAGACATCACCCTCCAGGCAGGATGGCCTCATTGCAATCCCTTCTCCATTCTCCTCCTGGGAATTTGGGCATACACACATGCGCCTGGCATGAGTTTTTTAAGCTGCCAGGCTTGGGATTTGAACTGTGGTTGACTACATGAGAATCCTGCGACGTAACTATTATGCCATCCGCTGGTTCCTTCCCCATTCATTTTATTATAGAAAATATGCACATGTGTGCACGAGAGGGAGAGAAGAAGAGAGAGAAAGCACCCTTGATAAAATCTTGTCATGCCACAGCCCTGTTTCCCCAGTCCTCTAGTTCCTGGGTGCCCATGTGCATGCCCAGTGGAGTTTTCAAGCCAACCCAGGATATGACTCTGGTCGCCCTGTGGCTTCCAGAGCTGTAGGGCCTTGGCGTTACCACTGCACCACACTGGCTGGGCCTCTTTGCCTTTTTTTTTTTTTTCTTAACTTCACTCGGTTAAGGGTTTTATGGTGCTCACAATTGTGAGGTGCCACCCATTTATCCAGCTTTATCCAGCTATCCCCTTGGTCTGACCTTTTCCCCAAGAGGCTGATGCTGCCCTTCCCTTCTTTTGACAGATTCTGGACTCAGAGCTCTTTGAGCTGATGCATCAAAATGGGGACTACACTCACTTCTACTTCTGCTACCGTTGGTTCCTCCTGGATTTCAAGCGAGGTATGGCCCTCACACACAGGTTTCTATTCCCTGACTCTCTGTCTCAAAAGTTGTCATGGGGGTGAGGCTGAGGGGCTGTTGGAGTGAAGGCAGCAGCAGAGAATGGCGTACATTCATTGAGTCATCACTACCAGTCATCTACTTTCGCTTATGTGGATACTTTGCAGTAGATGCTTTTCTTTTTTTTTTTTTTGCTATAGGTTGCATGTACTCACCAGAAAGACAGAGAGAGACAGAGAGACAGAAAGCGAGAAATCACCCCGCAGGGGGGATGGCCACGCCACAATCCCTTCACCTCCATTCCCCTCTCGGGATCTTGGGCACGCATGCACATGCGCCTAGTGTGAGTTTTAAGGCCCCAGGTCTGGGACTCAAACTGTAGTCGACTATTTGGGAGTCCAGCAATGTGACCATTATGCCATCTACTGGTCCCCCAGTAGGTGCTATTAAGATTCTCTTTTACAGATGAGGAAACAAAGGCTGAGAAGAATAACCTTCAGAGCTAGGAATGTGGGAGGCAGGTTCTGAGCCCACCTCTGTCTACCGCTAAGACCCAGTTCCCTGCTATTCTGTTCTGCCCGTCAGAGACCAAGCACCCTCAAGCCCATGGAACAGTGGTTATTTCATCATGTTTCACACACTATTTTGAAATAAGATGTATCACAGTCCATTGCTATTGTGCAAATGTGGGATGATCTAGTAATAATAATAATATACCTTGTATGTGTGGAGTTGTTGAGTAAGTGCTGTATACTGTGCTGAGCCATTTATTTGTATTGTCTCCCTCACTACTATCATCACCTGATTTAGAGGAGGGAAAAGAGAGAGAGGCTCATGGGAGAGCAATAACCAGCTCACAGCCCCCTTGCTAGCAAGTGAGGGAGCTGGGGTTCACCCCAAGCCTATTGGACATAGGAATCCTTGCTCATAAACACCCACTGCTCTATCCTGTCTTTCTACATCCAGCTCTGCCTGTGTACAGGGGAAAGGAGCAATCTCCCCATGGGTGCTAAAGGAGATAGTGGGTACGGGGAGAGAGGAGGACACTGATGAAGAGGCAGAGCAGCAACAGGTCCATGTAAACCAAATCTATCCAAGCTCAATGTCCCAACTCACAGAATGTCAGAGCTAGAGGGAACTTAGAACCTACCTGGTTTATATAGCTCTTTCTACAGATGGGGAAAACAGAGGTTTCTAAAGGTCAGAGACCTGCCTCCCAGCCTGAGCTCTGCTCACGTCACCAGGGCTCAGACACAAAGCACAGCTGGCCTGGGAGTTTCTCAGGGAATTTTCACAGGGGAGAGCAGCACCATGAGTTGTATCACTAACGATCTCCCTGTGCGTGTGTGTGTGTTGGTGTCTCGGTAGAACTTGTCTATGATGATGTCTTCTCCGTCTGGGAAACCATTTGGGCAGCCAAACACGTGTCATCTGCCCACTATGTCCTGTTCATCGCCCTGGCTCTGGTAGAAGTCTACCGCGACATCATCTTGGAGAACAACATGGACTTCACGGACATCATCAAGTTCTTTAATGGTACCTGCATGCCCAGCGTCTCTCTTGAGGAATGTGGGCCTCTGGAAGCCTTAGTAGGGAGAGAGATTTGCTGAGACTGATGCATGATAAAGGAAAGGAACAGAGGGGGTTTCTAGCCATTTCTGTGCCCCAGTGACCACACCGAGCTGGAGAGGTCCCCAGAGGCCAGACTGACTACCCAGGAGGCTCAAAAGATTTTGTCCTCTGTTCTTCCAGAAATGGCCGAGCGACACAACACCAAGCAAGTCCTGAAGCTGGCCCGGGACCTCGTGTACAAGGTGCAGACCCTGATTGAAAACAAGTGAAGGGCACCTCACCCTGGTGGCGTGAACCCAGCCACCACCTGCCTGTCCTTCTGCCCATCTTTCCTCCCAGCCAGAAGGCCACCTGGGAAGCAGGGTCCTGGTGCCTATTCACGAGCTTGGATTTTTGTGCAAAGAGAAAATACCCGCCCTGACTTTGGCCGCTTGGCAGGGGGAGTCCAGGAGTTGCCCCTTCAGTTCAGCCTTACGTTTTCCTGTTTGACCAAAGATTGCCCGCGGCTGGCGTTTCTCCCTTGAGGGAGTCGGGGTTGGTGGTGGAGGGAGGGAGCATCTTCATTCCTGATCTGCAGAATGGAGTCCTCCTCTTCCCCTTATTTCTCCAAACTTCCCCTTGTTCCTTTCTCATCTTTTCGGATGAGACTTGGAGACACTGGTAGAAGAAGTCTGTGGGGCTATCCCTGTACTCTGAGAGGGGCCTTTGAAGCTATTCCAGAAGATGGCTGCTGACTGGCTTAGAGTAGGTCTCAGCTCAGCATTACTGGCATTGGGGGCCAGGTGTTCTTTTTGAGGGGAATTGTCCTCTGTGCATTGTAGGACACTGGGCAGCATTCCTGGCCTCTGCTGCTTAGAAGCCAGTAGCACCACCTCCTATCCCCCAGCTGTGACAACCCAGAATGTCTTCAGACATTGCCAGTGTCCCCCTGTAGGACAAAATTGCTCCCATTTGAGAACCACTGGCTTAGAGGCGGGGCTGCAAGCATATCTCCCTCCTCACTTTCTTTATACTAAGCCACTTGTGTCCTGGGGCCTCCCCCGTTAGGCAAAGGCACCCGAGGTCCTTCACACAGCACCCTTGGAGTCTGGGGGTCCGGCTGGTTTGTTTTCTCACTGTTTCTCCTCTG